AGAATGCTGCGTTCATAATCAGGCCTGCTCCGGTTTCTCCTCTTGTTTGTAGTATTGTTGTCATGTTCTTGATTGTCAGTACAGTTGAATTGGTAATGCTGAAGTTGCAGAGAGGTTTGCCAATGAAATATAGAACGCCTCTCACGGTGCGGTGCGTGGTTGTTCAGCCGCAATGATGTACGCCCGTCTTTATTTTATCACCGGTTCCTCTCTATTCTACTTGATTTCTCACCATAATGTCAGTGGCAAGCATGACATGTTTATGATGTTACGGTTGGTCGTGGGTGGGTTGTGGGTGGGGTGGGGTTGTGGGGGGCGGGGGGTGAGATGAGAGCCAATGAACCGACCAACAACTACTCCAACCCCCGCAATTAAGAAGCCTACCTTCCTTTTTGGGTCTATCAATCAATCTGCATAGCGAGGCGTGTATGCGTACAAATAAAGAAATAGAGATATATTAAAGTTATTATTGTGTATTTAAATGACGAAGAGAAGATGTACGCTACCGCCGGCTGAGACAGGATATGCTCTACAACGACCACGTCCAGAAGAGGAAGGAGGAACAAGGGGTGTCTCTACGCTTCGTACGCCCCACCCCCCCCACCCCGCCCCTTCACCCCCTACCCCCCCTTCCGTAGTAACAATGATCTCGGATATTGCCATTAATGATGCGCTAAAGGGATATCTACTGAAGAGCTTGTTTATAGACCCGAAGATAGATGTGCATCTCTAGATGCTCAATGTTTTAGGAACTAGGCACTTTAGCGCATCTGACCCGATACATGATGCCCGCGGTGAATCGATACCACCGTTATTAAGCGCGCTCGTCTGCCATGGTGTGGTCCAGTACATGCTCGCCTAGGCGCTCCTAAAACTCGAACACACGCAGCGTAACCATCGCATATGCACGAAGTAATCTATATCTACATCTTTAGTTAGGAAAAGAAGAACCAACTAAATTATGGTCAAAGTTAATAGGCGAAGGGATATCATCAACAAATTTCGGCATGCATTAAACTCCTTGGACACACCATAAAACTATTTTTCCGTAGATAAACGTTTATAATTATTAACAGGCCCTGATCTAATCTTTGATCAATACGCTTGCAGCTTGTTTTCCCTGTTTTGCTGCTGCTGCTGCTACGAGACCTGTGAATGTTGCTCGGACGGCAAATGTTGTTGCTGCAGATAACCAATATAAAAAATGAATGCTTGTATTATTATTTCATACTCTCTAAAAGCTATTTTTTTGTGATATGTAGCTTTCAGAATGTTGTTATTGCATATAATTATGCATCTAAAGAGTTGTTTAATTGGTATGCCAAACGAATGCAATTGAGATTACATCTATAAATTCTGAAATAACTAATGCGGATAGGCTCTCTGTAGTTCTAATTGTGCGGATAGATCCCTTGAATGTTTTTCTTAGCTCTTGGAAAGTCGAAAGTTCTGTAGATGTTGATAGATCCTTTTGATCTTATTGGTCAGGATAGACCCACCATCGGGAAAATGATACGGGAGGTCTATCGGCACAAATAGAACTATTGGGGGCTTATATGCAACTGAGTGATACTAAGGGTCTATCCGCAATTAACCCAAATCTAAACCATTCCATTCTGATATGCTTAAATTGAAGTGATCACTCCTATTTGGCTAAATCATTTATGGAGATTTATCGTTTGCCTTTGTGTTTTAATCATATAAAATAAAGGCATCAAGCGGGGATAGCTCAGTTGGGAGAGCGTCAGACTGAAGATCTGAAGGTCGCGTGTTCGATCCACGCTCACCGCATTTTAACAATTTTTTTTAAAAGACTTTATTAAGAGTTTTAATCATATAAACCTACCGTGTGACCCCAATTTGATCTGTTTCATTTATTTATGCAAGCCCTGTATTTTTGTTTTCATGTTCAAAATATTATTTTACCTTTTTTTTTATTATGATAGACGTCCATAGTCACGCATAACCCCAAATTTTGGATTATTTATGCAACTAAAACTTTAAGAATGTCTTTTTTTGTTTTCTTTTTTGCAAAATCATTTATGGAGTTCACATTATGAGAAAAATCTCAGTAGTATTTGGTAGCCTTACTGCTAATAATATGCATAGAAGAATCTTAGGCTAAATAACACTTAGTTATCTTATATAGTTTCACTTACTTTGCACTGATACACCCTCATTTGTTTTCGTGACATTTATATATCCTAAGCTTTTTAAAATTGCCACAATAATGTCTTTAATGTGCAAACATGAACATTCATATTTGAATATTCTAATATGACACTCACATACTAATTAATTCTAAGTTTCATGTGAAAATATTCGGGTGAAATTTTCATGTGAGCGCAATAAAGGGTACTAGCATGCCAATTTTAGAAAATAAAGGGTACTAGCGTGCCAATTTTAGAAAAATTATGATATATAAATGCCATGAAAAACAAGTTAGGGTACATGAGTATAAAGTAAATGAAACTATCAGGTATTAAGTGCTATTTATCCACAATTGTAATTGTGCTCGAAGCATTGTACCTTTTGTTTTTTGTTTTTTTGTTTTTTGTTTGTTTTTTGCTTTTAGTTTATTTGTTTGTTTGTTTCTTTTTTTTTCTTTTTTGTTGTTGTGATAATGCCCCCATAGAATGTCTTTTTCATATGACACCAAGTTTTAACTCCTTTTTCATGCAATAAACCTGTGTCATTTTTTCCCCTTCAAAATAAATTATCATCTTAAGCCCCTAATAGTCAATTCTTCCATATACAACCCCCTAAGATTATTTATGCAACTAGAATTTAAGAACCTCGTTTTTTTTAAGCCATAACATAATAGTCGCACTGACATTAAACTATTGATAGAATAGTGCTAAATTTTCCCAATTGCTAAATAGTCAAATTTACAAGTTTGACTCTGATTTTCTTTCTGATGAAAACTTGTTTTTTTTTCCATTTGATTTATTAACTAAAATTGATCTGCATACACGAATTTATGTACGAAAATACATTTTTTTAAAATTAAGTGCTGCAAAGTTTAAGTTTACTTAGGATTATATGAAGTCTGAGTATTGTTTTTTTTCTAGTTTTGGAATTTATTTGTACCTAATGAATAAGCAACCAATGCAAAGTATTTTGCAAGCAACTCCGAGGTTGAGCTCTTTCATATGCAAAACCCTTGTATTATTATTGTCTTAAAAAAGAACTTCTACTTAATTATTTTTATTGCAGCATTTCAGTAAAAAAAATCTTGCATAATAATCTCTCTTTGATTTTTACAAGTTGTTGTAGTTAGGGTTAATTGTTGCTGGGAATTAGTTTTGTATTTCAGTCATTAAAAGATGACCACAAAAGAAGATACAAGAAAAGATATCCACGTAGTTCCGGTCAGTCTCGGATTATTTTCTTTGGGAATTCTTTGGTATTTGGGATTCCAATCTATAAATAGAGCTGTTCACGAGGCCTAGCCGTCTCGGGTTAGTCACCAAGTCCCAATGAGAGTCGTATGTTGTAAAAGAGAGCCGAGAGAAAACTAGGGAGAGAAATCTACGATTGCGAGATATCTTTTGGTGATGGTGAGAGAGAGAGTTTTTTGTGGGATCTATTAAGATCATAAGAAAAGTCGTATGTTGTAATCTCTGATAAAAAGAAGGCTTAAATCTCTTCCCATGAACATAGGTAATTACCGAGCCACAGAAGTCTTACGTGCTATTATTTGCTTATTCAATTTTCTACTAGACATTATTATTCTCTTTAGTTCGAATATTATTCTCTTTAGTTCGAACAAGTTTCTTGGAGTTTCCACATCGTTAGGTGGTCGATTGGTCTACAAACAATGAGAAGATATAATAGGTTGTTTCGGTGACGCTACCGCAGGCAATGCTTCCATATTAAATGTATATTAAATGTCAATTTCTACCCAACGATCGGTGTCAGGTTGCGGATGACGCACGCCAATGATTGCATACAGACTCTCTTACTATTTCCCAATTGTAGATAGACGTCTTATAGTTTTGTAATTGCTAATAGACTCCCTACAATCACCGAGTTGCGGATAAACCCGAATAAAATATTCTCTCCTTTACCCTCAGGAGATCTCTTTCTCTTGACGATATAGAGTTAAAAAATTGAAAATTTACATAGGGAGTCCATATGCAATAATAGAATTACAAGGGGATCTTGCTATTAGATCTGATGGACTGACCTCACAAACCACCACATGTCTTTTCAGCACGTTTTATCCTCACTCACGCGCTCCCTGGAAAACTTCCCAGAGGGTCACCCATCCTAGAATTTCTCCAGGCCAAACACGCTTAACTTTGAAGTTTCTAAGAGTTGGGTTCCCGAAAAGAAGATGCATCTTGGTGGTATGAGTATTCTAATCAAATTTATCAATACTAATCACATCACCCTCTCAAGGGTTGGGGTATTACAAACTCCCCCACTTAAACTCACAACGTCCTCGTTGTGCCAAATCATATCATCCAAGACCATACCATCCGTGTGAGATTCTAGAGGTGGCTCCTACGACCTCAAGAGGTGGCTTCCGCCCTCTCGACGTAGCACTTTGCGCCGCATAGCACTTAGCTCTCACAATTCCGGTTGGTTTGGCTCTGATACCATTTGTAATGCCCCGCCCCGGAATCCCGGAGTCGGTACGCTATTAGATCTGATGGACTGGCCTCACAAACCACCACATGTCTTTTCAGCACGTTTTATCCTCACTCACGCGCTCCCTGGAAAACTTCCCAGAGGACTTTGGAGTTTCTAAGAGTTAGGTTCCCAAAAAGAAGATGCATCTTGGTGGTATGAGTATTCTAATCAAATCTATCAAATACTAATCACATCACCCTCTCAAGGGTTGGGGTATTACAGATCTATCCATAATGTGGCCATAGTACAGAGGGTCCACCCACAATTACTTAACCCTTGGATGTAATGGTGTATCGACAGGAAAAACAGTAAGGGCCAAGGCACAGAAAACAACAACACGATAGAAAACAAGAAAATTTTGAAATTTGATCATGTAAATTATCATTGAAATAGTTACATTCCTACCAAAAAAGGACACTAAGGCAAAAGCACAGCCACTGCTTTACATCAAAATGCTTGAAATAAATATGCCATTTGGCCAAGCATCAGTCGACCTGTTATCACCTCCCCTATATTTTTGCGTTACACAGATAAAACTTTAAAGGGAAAAAAGAACAGATGGTAGAATCACCCCACCACCATAAAAACGAAGATATGAAAGAAATGAAGAAAGAAATGAGATAGACAGTCACAAGGTTGTTTTCTGCTAACCCTCTGTTAACATCCTCAGTAGATCGAAAGGACAGTCCTAGTATATATAATCAGTCAAATAGTGATTGGAGAAGCTTCGGAGATGTCATCGAAGCCACAGACTCGAACTGCATTTCACAACAGAGTCTAAAGTTATAATCTTGATAAAAATACAGGCCATAAATATAGTTGTTCATATTCTAGTAAGCAAATATACAGTTGAATTTAGGAGCACGTTTTGTCTGATATTTGGCAAACTATGAGCAATACCTTTGATTGTTTGTACTTCTCACGAATCGCATTGAGGGGACAATTGTTCGAGTTCAATTGTAACTCCTGCATTGCAAGAACCGTTGCTTTAAGTTCTGAAGCTTTATAAGAGGTATAGTGCTCCAGGGTGCTATTCTGTACATGAGAAGAATAAATCTGTCAGTGAAGTTTCGAGCAAAACTCCAATAAGAGACAACTTCTGCAAGAAGTTCATAGGACCCGGACACAGAGAGCTAGTCCTCTAAGTAGCTCCCTGAAATGATATGAGAGGGAGTCAAGCTAGCCTGATATCAATACTGTTGAATATGTGGATACTATTGATTCAAATCTACAATTTAAGTTTTCAAATTGAAAATCAGGATTAAATGTAGTCTTAAACACATGAATTACCTACGAGTAAAATTCCAATGATTTCGTTGAGCTTTTAACCATGTACCAAGGGGCAAAAAGTAAGAACTTTACAAAATATTGAAATGTTGAGTTTCCATAACATATGATCCAGGAAAAAACATGCTAAAATCCTTCAAAAGTTTTATTTCTAGGCAGCTGATATGTAGTAGATCACATCTAATGTATGGTTTTCAATTTGGAGATCCAAATTCTGGATGTGAATCGATAGTAGTCACATCTTAAATCTTAAATACTATTAATAGCAGCATAGCTCAACTCTTTATACAGACACGTGCACACGTACACATACAATGTGACTTGTGGCATAAGCCTCACTGCCACTCTATTTCTTGGTAGCTAATTTAGCAAAATGAGTTGTCACCTATTTATTGAACACATAGAGACATACATAATTACGTGCATAAAGCTAGCTTAAAAAGGAAAAATATATAAATGTGCACGCACCCATGGATGGTCAGATTGATGCAGTGTCCATTTTGCAAGGAATACGGCAGATGCAGCTATGATTGAAGGAAGAAACTTTAAGAAGCTATATTCAATCAATGTCAGCTCTGCTAAATAGTTTGCCAGATGACTCAAGGCTTGAGGAGGAACCTGCATTAGAGAAGAAAATCACTTAAAAAATATGTAACAGGTTGGAAGTTTCAAAAGCACATTACTATTATACTCCATTACACTCACTATAGAAATGCTTACCTTGTATGATGTATATGCTGCTCGAATATATCTCCTGCAGATAGCAAGCAAAAAAAAATGTCAAAGATGAAAGATAGACATACACAAACCTGATACAAGACTTAATCGATGGAAGAAGTGTTCACCTGAGAAATGTTTTTACAGTAGGTATAGAGAGTTGAAAGCCCAAAAATCTCAGCACTTGAATTTCCATTTTAAGTACCTGTTAGCGAGTGATGCTGGCTATGTTAATTCTCCTTTGTAACAGAGCCCTTTTCCTAGCTCAGGAATGTAAATGCAAGAGGCGCTTGGAAAAATTAATGTGAATGTATAGTATACCTCTCCTTTGGTGTATGTGTTATCTGTAATAAAGCAAAATTCCTCTATACGGGGACTGATAATTTCTTCATACTTTCTGCATAACATACAATAAATATAAATACAAAAAATTGTATTAACTAAATCCAATTAGTAAAACAAACAAAGTGCACTAAGCATCACTACCCCAAATTACTTCAGTCTACAGAGCAGTCTATGGAAATCTACTTTATTATAAACATGTAGATGAGAAACAAAAGGGGTTCTACAATTTTAGAGCAAGTTCACACAAGATTTCTCCCATCCATATGGGACTGCCCTTACAAAAAAGGCGTTCTCATTTGAGAATGATATATGCAATTCTCCACGAGTCCCAAAGATCTTGCCAGATCATGCAAAAGCATATGTTCTTTTTTACATTGTATCAAGCATGACACAGTAATTGTACATTGTGAAATGCACATCAGTTAATCAACATGGGAGTAGTGCTTTCCCTTGTTCTGTATTATTCACAACTAGTCACCCGAAATTTTGCGCACTGTATGTTCTTTTTTGAATTTAATGGTGATTAATATCAGGCCTCTGCATTGCATGGTTAGGGGGCTTCCCAATAGTGTGACTCATAACCCAATGTTTAATTTGTCAATTAGCGAGATCCTAATATTATATTTCTAGTTATAGTCAAAGTATATAAAGGACACACTAACACATAACAGAAAACTTACGATGCAATTAACATGGAAGTAATGCCCAGTAGTTGCAGCCTTTGTCTTTCAATATAATTTTGGGAGAGAAACCGATCAATGATGTTAACAGCAAGATATAAAGTGTCTGGAACAAGGCCATATTCATCAGAAACCTGAAACATGAAATTGACATTACTGTAAACTCACTCAATTGAAAAGAAAAGAAGGCAAAGCTAAATATTAAACAACAGAAACCCATGTTCAAGTCTATAAAATAATTTGAAATAAAAAATCTGCTAACTTACATGAGCTAGGAAGGGAAGGCACCTATTATGTACTTATCTCAACAAACTACAATGCGAGTACAAATTGTTTTATTTTCAATTACTAACAAACTTAAGTTCCATAATTTGACAGATTCCGCTAGGGGAATGCCTTCTGAGCTCTGTGGTTTTCAGGTGTTAGAACGAGCACTATCGAATTTAAGTGTCACCCTTGTATAGGTGTAAGGGCATATGGCTACACAAACCACATATTATCAGCTTCTTTGATTTACATAAAATACACAGGTTTCAGAAGTACTTCTCTAGTAGCCTCAAGATATTAGATATTTGGACTGATTGTGCAGCAATTTCCAAATGAAAAATGAAGATCATGAAGAAAGGCTGGAACAATTGTTTACCATATGGGATCCTTTTGCGCAGTCTTACGAGGTTGAAAATCGCTTGGTAGGGACTGAAATGCATCTCATTCATAAACTTCAAAGTGTTGTTGAAGAGGAAACAACGAGGTTTAGAAAATTGGAGACAAAACAATTTGGAAGTTGCGCGGTCGACCGCGAACGTGCACAGCACAGGAAAAAGTCTCTGGACTTTTGGCGGTCGACCTCGACCGCGAGACACTGTAATTGATTTTTGGGTTCTGTCGTTTGCCATGATCGACCGCGATGGATTCTGCGGTCGACCGCGGGTCGGGTCTGGGCCTGTGCTTGATTTTCTGTTCTGCTTGGGATTGGTGTTTGCTATAAATACAAACACACGTTTTAGGGTTTCTTTGGCTTTGATTGAGAATTGTTTTGGGGATATTGGAGCACAGAAAAGAGAGATCTTTCTGAGCTATTGGTTAGGGTTATTGTTTGAGAGATTGAGAGCTTTATTGGTGAGATTAGTTGATTGGTTTGAGCGATCTTGTAATCTCAGTTTGTACTCTCCTTCTCTATAGTGAAAAACTCATCCCCTTTCTTGCCCCGTGGACGTAGGAAACTTACCGAACCACGTTAAAATTGGTTTTGACCCGAGATCACCTTCTCTCGGTGTTTGTTTGTTTTGGTTTCTCGAAGCACATCGGTTTGGTTTTGACTTCCGCCGCGCACAACAAGTGGTATCAGAGCTTTTGCTACGCTTGGACTAATTGGAGGAGTAGATCGCTTTGGAAGTTCGTCTAGGGCTTCAGTTAGTGATAAATGTGGGATTTTTACTATTGGTGATCTCGTCTACAGTCGTGTGTGGATGAGATCTTTCGGATGTTCTTATTAGGGTTTCTGTTGGAGGTAAAAATCTCTCTTTTCAGTTTGGATCTATTCTTCGTTTGTTCCGCATTGTTTTGTTGGTGCTTTGAGAATTATGGTTGAGAAAGAAGGATTTAAGGCTGAGATATTTGATTGTTGATACAATGCATTGGATTATTGAGAAGTGTCTTGACCTGCATATTGAAATCCTTTGAGCACATTGGTATGAGCAAAGAGACCGATGTGGAGTTTGGCGCTTCAATCCATCGATTGAGGGGTCTTCTAGGTGGTATTCATTCAGACATTTGGGAGCCTTTCAAGGAGGCATCATTGGAAGGTAATCGATATTTGGTTTCCTTTGTTGACGACTGTTATAAGCATGTTTGGGTTGCAACAAAGTCCCGCTTGAGTGAAGTCCTAGTAGTCTACAACATGTAAGAAAGACAGAAGGATGAAGGTACTCCGTTCTAATTTTAGTGAGAAGTATAAGAGGGATCTTTTTCTGTATTCGTGCCGAGCTCATGACAGTTTGAGATACTTCATTGGAGGGGAAACATTGGGGCAACGAGATAAGATGACATTTTTGATTGATCGTTTTTTTCTGAAGGAGGATCAGCGTTTGATGTCAAACATTGATTCTGGTGTTGAGGCTTCGACATGTTTGGGTCATCTTAGTCATAGGTTGCCGACTGCTGTGTTTGGAGATTTAGGGTCTAGTGGAGCTGCTTCAGATTTTGGGTTACGTCGGATGTTTGATTGCTCAGCATTTGGTCACATCAAGGATGTGATATTTGATCTGATTGCACGTTTGGAATTCAGAGACTCGTTTGGTTATCAGTTGGACTCTCAGCAAGTGAAGAGTGTTGATCAGATTGTTAGGATATCGCGGCAGGTTGAGTGTGATGCTACTTCACGTTAGGTGGAGATTACTCCACATATTCCAGATCATACTACATCATTTGGGATTCCAACTGAGGTGACACAGTTTGGGTCATTTGGATTTGGATGCAGATGATGACTTGATTTTGGATTCGAGTACAGCTGGTGGACATAGTTCAGATTTGGACATGATCGTTAGTTCACCTCAGGTGGAGGTGTTTGGTTTGTTTTATTTTGGGACCATTGGGAGAGCTATCAGTCGCAGATTTGTTAGTGAAGAGTTGAGAACTCTTCTATTGGATTGAGGGCCTTTGAAAGCCATTGAGTGAACTACGTGAATGTTTGATTCCTTAGGCAAAAGGATACATAGACAGTCATTTATGATGCAGCCGGATTGGTGAGTTGATACCGACGTTTAGAGAGTGATCACATTCTCATTTAGGTCTCGACTTGTTGTGGATTGAGTCTGTTATCGTGATTTTATTTCACTTTGTAGAAATAGATAAAACCCTAATCAATCTTTATTGAGATCATAAGAGAGATATATATAGCCATACAATAGGGTTAAGGTTAATGGGTAACGTTCTATTAACCCAATACCCAATACTTAACCTACTACTTAATTTAACACTCCCCCTCAAGCTGGAGCATATATATCTATCATGCCCAGCTTGTCACATATAGTAGAGAACACCTTTGAAGATGTAGCCTTGGTAAGAATATCAGCAAGTTGTTGTGAGGACGGAGTGAATATGAGAGATACTATCTTCTTCTCCCAAGCATCTCTGACAAAATTGCAGTCAACTTCAATATGTTTTGTCCTCTCATGAAACACAGGATTCTGTGCAATATAAATGGCAGACTGGTTGTCACAATGCATTGGCATGGGTCCAGAGAATATCAGCAAGTTGTTGTGAGGACGGAGTGAATATGAGAGATACTATCTTCTTCTCCCAAGCATCTCTGACAAAATTGCAGTCAACTTCAATATGTTTTGTCCTCTCATGAAATACAGGATTCTGTGCAATGTAAATGGCAGATTGGTTGTCACAATGCATAGGCATGGGTCCAGGTTGAACAAGACCAAGTTCTGTCATAAACTTTCGTAGCCACACCATCTCACAAGCAGTGTGAGCCATTGCTCTATATTCGGCCTCTGCACTAGATCGTGATACTACATCTTGTTTCTTACTTCTCCAAGTCACAAGATTACCTCCAACAAAAGTACAAAATCCTGAGGTTGACTTTCGGTCTCCCATGTCTCCTGCGTAGCCAGCATCAGAGAAAGCCGAAATGTGAGTATGCCCATGCTTCTTATATAACAATCCCTTGCCAGGACAACTTTTGACATATGCCAAAATCTTCAGAGCTGCTGTCCAATGAACCTCTCTAGGTTTGTGCATAAACCTGCTCAGTACACCTACTGTAAAAATAATATCAGGTCTGGTAACTGTTAAATATATTAGCTTTGGAAACCAACATTAGAAATAACCTTGCTGAACTTATCAAACCAAGCTCGAGGACTCTGCTTTAACCCATAGATGGCCTTTCTCAGCCTGCAGATAAGATTCTCCCCCTGAGCAACATACCCAGGAGGTTGCTCCATATAAACCTCCTCGTCCAAATCACCATAAAGGAAAGCATTCTTCACATCTAGTTGGTGCATCGCCCAATCCATATTAACAGCCAGAGAGAAAAGAATTCTGATGGAGTTGAGACGAGCAACGGGAGAAAAGGTTTCAAAATAGTCAATACCATATGTCTGGGTATATCCTTTAGCAACCAGGCGAGCTTTATATCTATCAACAGACCCATCAGGACGATATTTCAAGGTATACACCCATCTGCAGCCAACCACAGTCGCTCCAGCAGGTAGAGAGACCAAATCCCAAGTCCCTCTAGAAAGCAGTGCATTCATCTCCTCATCCATAGCCTGTTTCCAGGCGGGTACTAACAAAGCTTCCTCATGTGACCTGGGTAAAGATATAGTGGACAATGACAAAGCAAACTGACGAAATGATGAGGTGAGACGGTCATAAGAGACAAAAAGAGAGATAGGATATTTTGGGCAAGACCGTTTACCTTTACGAAGAGCAATAGGAACATCTAAGTCAGAAGAGATATGAGGCTCGACATGAGATGGACCTGCAGCTGGAGAAGAAGAGTCAGCAGGAGCAGAGACAGGTGTATGTACTTTAGGACGGCGAGAGTATGTCAGTAGAGGCTTTGGTGCAGTAGCCACAGGAGCAGATATCGGAATAGTAGTGGGAGCCGTAGAAGGTAGTGGCACCTGTGGACTGACAGAGGTAGTGGAACCAGAGGAAAAATATGGGACAGACTCAAAAAAGGTAACATCAGCAGAAACAAAATATCTCCTGGTGTTTGGATGATAGCACCTATACCCTTTTTGAGTACGTGAGTATCCAACAAACACACACTTAATGGACCTAGGAGACAATTTATCCAAACCAGCAGTCAAATCCTGAACAAAACACGTACAACCAAAAACTCGAGGAATCACAGAAAAACGTTTTTTAGCAGGATAAAGACAGTGGAATGGTATCAAACCATCAAGAACAGAGGAAGGCATGCGATTAATCAAATAACAGGCAGTGAGGACAGCATCCGACCACAAGTACTTTGGAATATTCATATGTATCATCAGTGTTCTAGCAACATCGAGAATATGTCTATGCTTCCTCTCAGCAACTCCATTTTGTTGTGAAGTGTGAGAGCATGAAGTTTGATGAATAATACCATTAAGAGCACAAAATTTTGAAACGTCATTTTTCATATATTCCAAAGCATTATCAGTACGAAGAATATGAACAGAAGTAGAGAACTGGGTTTTTATTTCATTATAAAAAAATTCAATAACATGCTGGACTTCAGACCTCTCTTTCAACAAATATAGCCAAGTCATGCGAGAGAAATCATCAACAAAAATAATGAAATATCGATAGCCCTTCACAGAGGGAACACGACAAGGACCCCAGACATCAGAATGAACTAACTCAAACGCAAAACTACTGCGTTTATCGACACGACTCTGAAAAGAAGCACGATGGTGCTTACCCAGTTCACATGACTCACAACCTAAAGAAGAAAGAGAAGACTGAACAGTAACTACTGATTTAAGTTTTTGAAGTGAAGGATGACCCAGACGCCAGTGCCATAGTAAGGTAGAATCAGGCTGTGCTGCAACAAGACCAGCACCCGGCACACTGTCGTCCAAATAGTACATACCGCCTCTCTCATGCCCCGAACCAATCGTCCTCCCAGTTGCTAGGTCCTGAAAAACACAATAAGATGGAAAGAATGTGACTTTACAGTTATTGTGCTTTGTAAACTTGCTAATGGATAATAAGCTAACAGGGAATTTAGGAGCATATAACACATCAGTGAGTTTCAAAGAGGAAGTAGCATGAACTACTCCAGCACCAAGAACTGGAGAAAGTGTACCATCAGCGATGCGAATAGAGGGAAACTTATCAGAAAAAAATAAAGTGTCAAAGCGATCCTTTATACCTGTCATATGGGATGAGGCTCCAGAATCTAGTACCCATGGTTCATGAGGAGAAGCTATGTAAGCATCCATACCTGAAGAGGATGCATGAGTAGCCGAATGACTGTTTTGAGAGAGCTCTAGCTGACGTAACCTCTCATAATCTGCCTGAGAGATCTGAACAGTAGGAATAGTAGTAGCTAGATTATTAGGAGTAGTAGTAGAAACAGGTGAACGAGTCGACTCGGCATCGGCCACTTGGGCCCATTGAGGACGGCCAAACTTCTCCCAGCACTTCTCAGAAATATGATTGGTCCTCCCACAGTGACTACACTGACGTGAACCCCTATCAGAATCACCATGTCGCCCACTAAAGGAGCCACGTCCTCCCACAGACTCACGACCACGACCACGACCACGACCGCGGCCTCTGCCTCGACTAGAGAACATGGCAGACTGATCCACTGAATGTGGAGAAGGTGCATTAGTAGCAGAAGTAACACCAGTAGAGACCTGCATGACTCTGGAGAATGTAGCAGTCAGGGAGGGAATCGAATCGCCACCCAATATTTGTCCCCGTACCTGAGACTGTAAATTAGGGTGCAGTCCAGAAAGAAACTTGGAGACAGCCAGATCGCGGCGATACCCCAACAATGTCGCCGCATCAGCTACTGCAGGCTGATGCATTTCTAGTTCGTCTATCAGTCCCTTCAACTCACCAAAGAACTCTGGAACTGTCTTATCGCCCTGTTTGATCGCAAATAGTCTCTCATAAATCTCAAAAACACGGGAAACATTCTTCTCATTCCCGTACATAATCTTCAGGCTGTCCCACATTTCCTTTGCAGTGGTTAAAAACATAACACTGCTACTGATCTGTGCATCCAAACTGTTGAGAAGCCAAGTCATAACACAGTAATCAGAGGAGAGCCATGAGTTGTAGGTGGGATCAGATGGTGGTGGTGGAGATGCCAGAAGATGAGGCAGTTTGCTCTGAGCGCCAATGAAGATCCGGAAAGCTTGTGCCCAGAGCAGATAGTTAGTACCATTCAACTTAATTGTAGTCCCCAAGACTACTTTTGGCGCAGAGGTTTCTCCAGCAACAACAGGAGTAGTAGATGATGAGATATCAGACATCGAAGTAGTAGTCATATTTCAACAATGGTAGATAGATAGAGCCTTGGCTTCTGTGTGCACAAAGGCTCCAGTCAAACCCTTGTTGTGTGCAGTGAAAATTTCGGCAGCACCTCTGCTGCACAACAATAGTAGGATCTTCAAAAAAATTCTCGTTTCTCAGAGGAAACAAGAACCAAAAAAAAGGTTATATCCCATCGATGTGAGAGTTAAACTCTTCCTGTCATCAGTTCGAGGACTGAGTCTAGGGAATCCATGTCAACTCGATGGTCGACAGGATGGGGGGGGTGGGGGGCGGGATAGCGGCGTTTTTGCGGCCAGGAAGGAGGGGAGGGCTGGAACAAGTGAGGCAGCAGCGAGGCAGAGGCAGGGGGAGGCAGCGGCAGCTGGCGTGCTTCAGCGGCGCAGCGATTGCAGCCGGGCAGCCGGCCCAGCGCGGTGAGCCACGGCAGCGCTGGCGCCAGCGAAGGAACGGGGGGGCAGCAAGCAGCGGGTGCAGCCTGGCCAGGGGGTGGCAGCAGCGAGCCGGCAGCGGGCAGGAGGGGGGGGCAGCGGCTTGCTGGCAGACGGGGGGCAAGCGACAGGGGCGCCCAGCCGCGACGCAGCGGCTGCAACGGGAGCGGCCGAGGCGGTCGGCAGCGGGGCGGTTAGGGTTTTGGGAGATAAGGGCGGCGGCTAGGGTTTGGGAGGGAACCTTGCTCTGATACCATGTAGAAATAGATAAAACCCTAATCAATCTTTATTGAGATCATAAGAGAGATATATATAGCCATACAATAGGGTTAAGGTTAATGGGTAACGTTCTATTAACCCAATACCCAATACTTAACCTACTACTTAATTTAACACACTTCGTACTGGACGCAACAAGTGAGACATTTATTTTGGTTGGTATCGGCTCAGTTTTGAAAAAAACTTCGCCGAGGTGAAGAATTAAAGAGGAAACAACGAGGTTCAGAAAATTAGAGATAGAACAATTTAGAAGCTGCACGGTCGACCGCGGGTGGCGCGACAGTCGACCGCGAACGTGCACAATACAGGAAAAAGTCTCTAGACTTTTGGCGATCGTCCGCGTCGACTGGCGCGACGGTCGATCGTGAGACACTGTAATTGGTTTTTGGGTTCTGTAGTTTGTCACGGTCGACTGCGATGGGTTCGACGATCGATCGCGGGTCGGGTCTGGGCTTGGGCTTGATTTCCTTCTCTGTTTTGGGATTAGTGTTTGCTATAAATACAAACACACGTTTTAGGATTTCTTTGGCTTTGATTGTGAATTGTTTTGGGGATATTAGAGCACAGAAAAGAGATATCTTTCTGAGCTATTAGTTAGGGTTATTGTTTGAGAGATTAAGAGTTTTGTTGGTGAGATTAGTTGATTGGTTTGAGCGATCTTGTAATCTCAGTTTGTACTCTCCTTCTCTATAGTGAAAAACCTATCCTCTTTCGTGCCCCGTGAACGTAGCAACTTACCGAACTACGTTAAAATTAGTTGTTTGTGTTTGTGTCGTTATTTTGCATTGTTTGACCTTCTCTTGGCGTTTGTTTGTTTTGGTTTCTCGAAGCACATCGATTTGGTTTTGGCTTCCGCCGCGCACAACAGTTGTATTATTCCTTGCAAAATGGGAAATGATAATAACTGGAAAACAAAATTCCATAAAAAAGACTCCCTAGCCCTTGTATTTCTTGTGTTTTGTAAGCTCTACTAGTGCCCTATAAGCCCTACCATAGATTTCACGTTTGTTCTAACAGTACTTTAACAATAAGAATACTCCCCAATATACTAACTCATCCTTTAAGTAATCACGGTTCTACAGAGAATATTCACCTAAAAGAGTAAGATAATTGTAAAGATAATTTTAGCAGATGTAGTTATACACATATTCCTAAGTTTAAAATATAAACTAGAACTCTTGTGATGTTGCAAAGTCACAGCGATACTATTTACTATATCAAAGTGGATTAAAATAAGTACAATATATGCTTTGCTAATTACTTAGATGTAGCTACCTCATGTAAGGTTTAGCTTATATCTACCCATTATCAGTTTGACTTTTGTGCTGAAAAGACACAAACCAAACTGATATGCCCAGTGCATTTTCAGAAAAGACTGAAAATAAGCAATCACCTTTCAAGTCATAGCCAAAAGTAATTTAGTAAATAAGTATGTTCAAATTTCATAAATCGTCTAACAACAAGAATAAAATCATTTTGGCAAACATATGGTAACTTAAACTTTTACAAACCTCGACAAGCCAATCAATTAGAATACCCCGCATGCTATGAGTGATATCTCGCTGCACTGTTTCCATGAAGTTGGAACAAGGTCTTCTGAGGATCTGAAGAAAGAAATTTTCAATATAAGAAATTACCAAAAAAACACAAATATGCAAAGGAAAAGTTGAAACAATGACAAGATTTAATTGTCTCATTGTCTTAGAAGTTATAAAAATTACTAAACTCAATCTAGGAGTGTGACTAGGTTTGTTTTTTGTGTGCACTTGACTAATCTCTGTGCTCATCAGCATCATCATCATCAGCATCATCAGGCGCCATGAAAATTTAAAATGATTCAAGCAGTAATGGTAGAATGCATAGCAGAAATATCACAAAAGAGCATCAGACTTCAGAATCCAGGAAAATAGGGTTGTACCTCGGCAGCATGTAGATTAGAATATATATCAGATGAATATAAGCAGCACATTTGAGGATTTGTATGGTCAGCATCAATATCTATATATTCCAACTCAGATAAACCCTCAGGATCCTTGCAGAATTCATCTCTGGAGATATATTCTTCAAGCAAAGTTGTACCACAGGTGCTCTCCCCTTCCATAAGACTCTCTGCATTTTGTGGGGATGAGAGATTTTCTTTCATACTGAACGACAAATCAGCATCTTGTGTCTCCAACATCACCACCTCCTTTATCTGTTTATCCTTCTTGTTTTCAAGAATCACTGCACTTTTCACAGAAATGGATGGGGCTTGATTGAAAACCTTCTTGCTAGAACATAGTTTAGGCTTGGAAGGACCGGATTTAATCTTCTGAGAGACCTTAGCCTGGATACAAGCATTGCATTAGGGAGAAAAGTCAATACTTCCAAACAAGAAAATGCAGACAGAAAACAAGGAAAATAATTTGTGATATTCCACCACAAAATTCAAAAATCTTCCAGTTCAAAAGCCAGTATAATTGTAACAACATAGTGCTTTGCAGGAGAGAAAAGACATCTATCAAATAACAAATACACTTTTTTAGCCTTAACATTGATGAGAAAATATTCAGAAAGCACTATCTTAACAATTATGAAATCATGGAATCACTGATCACTTTATGTAAGTACTCGAACCTGTATTTTGCTCACATTGATGCAGTCCTTAAATGAATTCGCACAGCAAGTATTCGTCACGTCCCGGAGTACTGCCCTCTTCTTGTGCTGAAAAGCTGCATTAGGAGCAGCACAACTGTTCTCATCTCTCTTTTTCTTCCCCCGTAGTACTTGCTCCTTGTCCAGCTGTACAAGAGGAGGTTTCAACTGGAGCACGGAACCACTTGCGCGCCAAGCAGCAGCCCTAGCCCGTGTTATTCGGCCCGAAGGTGCTTCACATCCAGCAAGTACTGAATTTTCAGATGTTTCCTTCTTCATTGCCACTAAAGCTTAAACCACACTTTTATATGTTCACTTCGTACAACCTGCCTACAAGAGGTAAATTATTTACCTAATGCTAGATATAAAAGCAAGACAAGAGCAGTTGTTTAAAGAAGAATCACAAGAAAAAGGAAGAAAAATGAAAATAATACTACTGTGCTACAGAGCACGTTATAAAACCATAAAAATCCGACTTTGATAGTTTCATTAAGCACTCAAAAAAATAAACTTGGTTAAAGATAGTAAACTACACAATTCAGAGAAATGTTCAAACAAGGATGGTCCATGTCGTAAAAACTACCCCCCCCCCCCCCCCCCAAACCCCAGCCCCTCCCTCTTCTAGCTAAAGAAGAGTAATAGGCTTCTAAAGTTCTGGAGAATTGTCCTATCAAGGCATTGCTATCAGCTTTGTGATAAAAAAAAGATTTAAACCCCGTGCCAATTAAACTTGTAGGTTTGGTTAAGATGCACATCACTTGCTAATGTTATCTTGCTAAGATACACATCACTTGCTTATAAAGGATTAGTTCTACAAATAATACATGGTTTTGGGCACTTCTTTCATGAAGTTTTCTGGACATAAATCCAACTTGCCAGCATATGAGTATTCATCACCACATATATGATTCTAATGGTAAAAATTTGAATGCGAAACTTAATAAGCCTGCATGCTCCTCACATAAACATTCGGAAATTTAGGATACTCCGTACTCCAAAACTATATACTCTCTATCATTCACAGAGACGAAGGTAGTGTAGTTCATAAGATTTAAACATAAGCCGACTTCATTCAAGTCGTTTTAATTTGTACCAAGGAAATTCACATTTTTATCGCAGAAAATTCTCAGTGAAGAAAATTCTTTTTTTTTTGAAGCAGATTGTGATGTGTTGATGTCCTAAAGAGAGATTTGTTTTATATTTAAAAAAAATGTGGTTTGAAAAAGTAAGGCTATAGTACAACCCAAAAGTCCAACTTGAAATCTATTGCCATCTATTTACTAGACCACTGTTTGGATCAATTATTGAGTAAAGATATTGGGCCATTGACATTCAATACGTTCTTACGAATATGGGGATTTTAAGAATCTTTCTCCAAAACCCAATAACATAACTGAAATTTTTTTCAGAGTGTAAATACCGAGCCTTTATTTTGTTTTGATGTTTAATACTAAGCATTGAAGTAGAATTAATGCAGCAGTACAAAATATCGCACCCAATAAAGTATACCCGTAGAAACAATAACAACAACAAAACAAAACAGAAAATAAAAAAAGGACAAGATGATTATTATTCAAGGGGAAAACCACAGACCAAATGTAACCAGAAACTGAACTAAAAAAAGAGTGAACTTTTCTTTTAATGTCCGGAAAAAATAAATAAATTGCCGATTCCAGACTGAAGAGTAAAAAGAAAAAGTGAATTTTTTCGTCAAATAAAAATTATTACAAAAAAGAAAAAAAAAAGAAACCTGCTCTCTAAAACCCTAGCCCCCAAACTAAACCCCAAAACAATGTGATTAGTGCCAAACTTAAAATAACAAAACAAACCCCGATCTCGCCTTCAGCTCATCAATCGGACTCTCGTCAACAAAATGCCCAAAGATTATTATTATCATTATTATTTAAAAAAAAAAAAACTCGAAGGAGAAAGCGACGGGACTAAACAAACGACGAGGAGGATCCGAAACCGATGAGCGCCGTTTCGGGGACCCGATAGAGGACTGACCTAACGCCGTCGCCGCTAATCGGAGCTCCGAACTCCTCCCGGCGATCCGGAACCGCCGGAGAGACCCGAGCTTGGGCGCATGCGACGGCGGCCTCAACGGATGAGGAGAGAGAAAGGTAGAGCTCTAGGGTCTAGAGAGAGAGAGAGAGAGAGCGAGCGAGGGTTTAGAGAGAGAGAGAGAGATTGAACGAAAGCGAGCGCCCTTTTCAAAGAAAAGAGTTAACGGCGAGTAACTCCGTGAGCGGGACGGCGAAATAGTTCAAATCTCGCCCTCCGATTTCCCCCATCTCACCCTCTTAATTTTTTTTATAGGGGGTTGGGGGGTGCAAAATAAAATACAAGACCGCCGGATTGACTGTTTGGCCTTTTTGCGTTTGAGCCCCCGGAGACTCTACTTGTTGCAGATTGGTTTTGTCGGGTTACAAGAAAGAATATGATCTAATTTGATTACGAAATCAGTACAATTCGATAAAAAGTCAGCGCGTGCGTTTAAAAGATTTTTGTAATCCGTAGGTTTCTAATTTGCCATTTCTGATTTTGTGAAATAATTAATAAAATATGATCGGTGCGTGAATCCCCGTGATTATCGATTTTATTTTTTTTTATATTTAATCACATGCCGCTTTCTGCCTGCCATTTATGTTTTCGCTCTGATTTCATCTTTTTACTCATGGGTATTTCACATTCCACTTTTTCTTTATATTTTTTTAATTTACTTTATGATATTAACCTAAATTTATATGATATTCTTTTTGTAGCCTAGCGATGTTTTTTTGGTTTAAATAAATAACTAATAAATTGTTGACTCGAGTATTGGAGAAGCTTTGCTTGAGATCAAAGTTAGGCTCTTGATATATTTTTTTGTGAACGTAGATCATCTTATCATCGAAACAGCGGCAATCCATATTTGCTAGATCAACTTTTCAAGGATATACATCCTCCCATTGTTAATTCTCACAGTATTAATGTTTTCACTAGCAATCAACTAATATGGTGCTTTGATATTACCATGTTCTAATTTTTTTGCATTCCTTATATTAACAAGTGGCATCTTTATCAATTTCAATGCTAAGAACATAATTTTGTTGCAAAATGTAAATTACGCAAATGCATATAATTGCTGTTTTTTGTTACAACAACAAATATTTGTGACACTTTAAACCTAATCAAAATTAAGACTAGCTGAGTAACTATAGATGGGATTAACCTGTATTTCTTATTTCTTATAACTAGTCAACTAACCCCTAATTGTTATGTAGACCTAATATTGCAATTTTAAATTGAAGATGGAGTTTTTTTTAATACTCTTAGAATTTCGCCAGTTATAGAAATTTGGGTTTTTTTAGATATTAGTGCCCTAAATCTTTAATAATTTTCATATTACTCCCTCAAATCTTAGAAATCGCATAATATTCTCTTAAATTCTATACAGTCATGAAAACGGTCTCTCTAATTAACTCACCTTGTTAGACTTAAAGAGAATATTCCGTCAAATCGAACAGTTATATGCAAAGTAGCTTTTTTACCAATGTGTTAAGTCTAACAACAGACAAAAGAATTCTAATACAAAGCTAAGTTACACAACAATAATAACCCTCTATAAGATCTATATGGTTTTCTTAATTTATCCTCTAATCTATCTATATCTTTTGCTCTAGCATTTGAACCATTAGAGAGGGGTAATTTGGTACATGCGGGTGTCTAAATTGGAGTTAACCCTACAGTGATTGGGTTTGTAACTAAAACACTAATAGAGGGACCATGTTGCAAGACACATGGGATTTGAGGGACTAATATGCAATATGCAAGACTTGAGGAACTAATGTAAAATTATTGAAGATAAGGGACTAATTTCTAAAACCGCTAGAATTTATCAAAGTGAGCTCCTCCAGCAGGTACAGCAATAACCTGTTCATTAAGTGCTGAATCATCTCAACGGACGGCTGGGATCGCTCCATCAACAAAACGCACGTTTCTATATTGCATTTAAGGGGGTTAAATAAACCCGCGTAATTACCATAATTAACAACTTAACAGCCTTTTGGAGCCGGTCAACATCACGTGAAATTACCACTTTCGGTGTCAGATTTTTATTTTTATTTTTATTTTTTTTACCGCGGAGGTAATTTAATTAATAAACTGGAGCAAAAGGAAAATAAAATTTTCAATAAGCATATTTTAATTTATTCTGTAAAATCATCACGGTTGTTATCATATTCCTCAAAATTGGAAGCGTCCATCAATTTTTCTTCAATCCTAAATTTTAAGTAATTAAATTGAATAATCAGGTAAGATGATTAAGTTTTTCTAAAGTAACTAAGCTATGTAAATAGGCTAATCAAACATGAAATTGAGTAATCTTAATATCGTTAAGAGCTATTGATACAAGATTTAGGTGTTAAAAGATGAAAATAACTCATTTTGAAATAATGCTGTAATTATCGTTAATAATACTAATTAACTTAAATTTTAAAAATTGTCGCTAAATAAATAAACCTTATAACAGAATATTCCAAAGTTGAGGGGAAAATAATTTCGTAGAGGGTTGTCTTTACAAAAACTACGTAAGGCGAATAAGAATATGACACATCTCTGGCATCAAATTTAAAGCTAACGATTGTATATCTATATGTTGCCTGCAGCAATTTAGTAGTTAGTTTGTACTGATGTTTTAACTTTTTTCTTTTTTTTTTTGGTAAAGAATTATTTATTATTTATTTGTTTAAATATTTCTATAAAAATAAGAGAAAAAAATTATATATGTGATGATGACAAGCGGGCAACAAGCTGCGCCGCTAATCTTTTCCAAATTGCAAAACCTAACCTACGAAACACGTACTCAGCTGATGCGGTGGAGTTCCTCAGGAGGGTACAAAAATTCATGAATAGAAATGTGGCGCCGCTATTTTCTTTTGCACTGACCGTGAAAATTAGTGGTCGATACAGTTCGAATCCTACCTCTACGGTTTCGAATACAATTTGGATAGTAAAACAACAATTATGAAAAATTCCGAAATCATATATTGTCTGGGGTTTAATACATGAAAAACTCTAATGGTGAACCCACATAAATGTCATTTTCTGTTTTTTTTTTTTTTTTTGCAACAGTTCGAATCCTACCTCTACGGTTTCGAATACAATTTGGATAGTAAAACAACAATTATGAAAAATTCCGAAATCATATATTGTCTGGGGTTTAATACATGAAAAACTCTAATGGTGAACCCACATAAATGTCATTTTCTGTTTTTTTTTTTTTTTTGCAGTAG